CTCTTCTTGAAAGCCTCCAGTGATGGAACACCCACAACTTCGGGAGGTTAATTAACAGAATAACAGAGCCGGAAGGGACCTTGGAGGTCATCTAGCCCAACCCCCTGCTCGAGCAGGAGACCACATACAATTTGAGATAAGTGACTGTCCAGTCTCTTCTTGAAAGCCTCCAGTGATGGAACACCCACAACTTCGGGAGGTTAATTAACAGAATAACAGAGCCGGGAGGGACCTTGGAGGTCATCTAGCCCAACCCCCTGCTCGAGAAGGAGACCGTATACAATTTAAAGATAAGTGACTGTCCAGTCTCTTCTTGAAAGCCTCCAGTGATGGAACACCCACAACTTCTGGAGGTTAATTAACAGAATAACAGAGCCGGAAGGGACCTTGGAGGTCATCTAGCCCAACCCCCCGCTCAAGAAGGAGACCGTATACAACTTGAGATAAGCGACTGTCCAGTCTCTTCTTGAAAGCCTCCAGTGATGGAACACCCACAACTTCGGGAGGTTAATTAACAGAATAACAGAGCCGGGAGGGACCCTGGAGGTCATCTAGCCCAACCCCCTGCTCGAGCAGGAGACCTGTACAATTTGAGATAAGTAACTGTCCAGTCTCTCCTGCCTGAGCAGAGGGCTGGACTAGAAGACCTCCAGGGTCCCTTCCAGCTCTGTTATTCTGCAGGGATCTCCTGCTTGAGCAGGGGGCTGGACTAGAGGACCTCCAAGGTCCCTTCCAACTCTGTTATTCTGATCAGACAACAGAAGGGAAAGAAGACAAAGGATCCCTTCCATCCAAGCGCACATCCTTCTGGAATGTAAAGAATGTGCTGTCGTCAGCATATTGATTCTGTTTATTGTGCGCCACACACTTCACTTCCACGAGAATCCAGCCGTGTTCAACATGCCTTTTTTCAGGCTGGACACCAGGCAAATACTTACGTTATCTTAATTCTGTCAAATCCTCAAGACAACTAACCTCGCCCTAATGTTCTCCCAGACAAACATCCACAAAATATGAGGGTCTATTAACCAGTTTTGGTCACCGCGATGTAAAAAAGATGTTGAGACTCTAGAAAGAGTGCAGAGAAGAGCAACAAAGATGATTAGGGGACTGGAGGCTAAAGCATATAAGGAAAAGTTGCTGGAATTGGGTATGTCTAGTTTAACGAAGAGAAGGACGAGGGGGGACAGGATAGCAGCATTCCAGTATCTCAGGGGCTGCCCCAAAGAAGAGGGAGTCAAGCTCTTCTCCAAGGCGCCTGAAGGCAGGACAAGAAGCAGCAGATGGAAACTAACCAAGGAGAGAAGCAACCTAGAACTAAGGAGAAACTTCCTGACAGTGAGAACAATTAACCAGTGGAACAACCTGCCTCCAGAAGCGGTGAATGCTCCAACACTGGAAGTTTTTAAGAAGAGACTGGACAGCCATTTGTCTGAAATGGTGTAGGGTTTCCTGCCTGAGCAGGGGGTTGGACTAGATGACCTCTAAAGTCTCTTCCAACTCTGTTATTCTTTTACTCAAATAGAAGGCAGGACAAGAAGCAACGGATGGAAACTCATCAAGGAAAGAAACAACCTAGAACTAAGGAGAAACTTCCTGACAGTGAGAACAATTAACCAGTGGAACTACCTGCCACCAGAAGCGGTGAATGCTCTGACACTGGAAGTTTTTAAGAAGAGACTGGACAGCCATTTGTCCGAAATGGAGTAGGTCAGTGGTGGCGAATCTATGGCACGGGTGCCAGAGGCGGTACTCGGAGCCCTCTCTGTGGGCACACGCACCGTCTCCCCAGCCCCGCCTCCTCCCATGGCCCCCTCCTCACCAGCAGCTCCCCCCCCGAGGAGAGTTGCCCCTGGGCGCAGCCCACACAAAGCAGCGTAGCCAATGACATGGTAGCTGGGCAGCGGGGACAAGACTCCGCCCTTGTGCCCCATTGCGCACAGATGATGCTGCAGGGCATGGGTGGAGGGCATGGCCGCCATGGCGCTGCTGGGCTGCCCGGGTGATCTGTGGCGGGCCGTGGAGGTGCTGAGTGGCCCAGTGGGCAGAGCGGGGACGGGGGTAGGGGGGCAGTTTTTGGGCACTCGGTCGCTAAAAGGTTCGCCATCACTGGTGTAGGTTTTCCTGCCTGAGCAGGGGGTTGGACTAGATGACCTCGAAGATCCATTCCTCCTCCTCCTTCTCCTCCTCCTCCTCATGATGATGATGATGATGATGATGATAATGATGATGATGACGACTTGTGGATATCATTTCCCAGAATTGTGGACTTTAAGACACCCCTGTACTAAGTGAAGAGGCCTCCTTGCACTCCACGGAAGATGGTGGAGGAGACACCTCAGTTTCTCCACTGCAGGATGCTTCAAGCAAAGGGACTCTAACAGCCTTGGTCTTGCAAGGCCCAGCCAGGGAGGAGTGACAAGTTGAAAGGGAGTTGAATCCATGGTTCTCCCCCCCCCCATCCTCACCTTCTCTCCCAAGGGACAGTAGCCCTTCAGGAAGTCCGCACAGACCTCTGCTTTCCTGGAGACGTAGACATGGCTGTACGGACAGTCGCTGTTGTTGCAAATTCCCCTCAGGAAGTAGGAGCAGACGGGCATCTGACAGAGAGGAGCAAAGAGAAGAGAAAATTCAGTGAGGATCTTTCGCGAGTCAAAAAAAAACACCAAACCCAAACCCAAGTGAGAATGTCGCTCTACACTACACCACTGAGGAACGGTGCCACTGCACCATAGGAAAATACAGAATAACAGAGTTGGAAGGGACCTTGGAGGTATATCAACCCCCTGCTCAAGCAGGAGACCCTTGCAGAATAACAGAGCTGGAAGGGACCGTGGAGGTCACC